ATTACCCATATTAGACCGCAATCCACAAACACGCAGCCACACAATTATTAGTTTCCACCACTTGAATGTGACTGTTTAAAAGCCTCCTCTGTCTCATTTGCTGCAGACCATCAAGACATACATCTAGACCACACTCAGCCTGACGCAGAGGAGTCCAAGTCAAGTCCAGGCAACCAGGCTGTAAACATGTTAATTATGCTGTAAAAATAGACTTTTTGAATGGGTGTGTATGTGACTTCCTGTGCTTCTGCAGCCAGCCTCTAGTGGACACTCGAGGAACTGCAGGATTATACACCTCAGCATCGGCTTCATTTTTCAACACCGGAAGTTTCTGCTTAATGTTAACGCAGCATGTAGGAGAGAAAAAACAATTGAGATTCCATCATGATGTAAATCCATCAGCTGCTGCAAAGTGTTAACACAGTTCAGCTTCTGTTGTCAGGAGGGAGCACATTATCAGAGGTGTAAAAGGCTCAGTGGGTGAGGTGTGTTTGTGTCTTTGTTGTCAGTAGCAGCACACAGTTCATGCAGCAGATACATATTTCCAGGCCGTTCAGAAAGTCTTCTCAATCACCGAGTAGCTTGGGTACATGCAGCGGTGCGCACGCACACACACACACACACACACACACACACACACACACACACACACACACACACACACACACCACACACACCTGATACAACACACAGAAATCTGTGAGTGCAGACCTTTTGTATGACGCATTCCTGACATTCAAACATGTCCTTTTCAAAACTCTAGGTGTGGGTCTCTGTGGACGTGGATCTGATCCCCGACGGCTCTTTTTCAACCCATTTTCACTCCCTCATCTCTTCCCTCAAGCTATTTTTGACTTTCACTTTCTACACACACTCTCTGCTTGTCAGTGTCCCCCACTGCTCCTCTGGCCCCTCTCACTCTCTGCTTGTCAGTATCGCAGTTACAACAAATACTCATTTGTTGTCCTTCTTGTCATTTTCTGCTGTTATGAGTTGCAGTCATGCGACAAAGAGTTGACGGTTTCCCTCACTTCCAGCGCTGTGAAACATATCATGATATGATGAACACATTAAAATGTAGCTCTACCAGTTTTACACGGTGAGGTCAGTTTACCTGTCAGCAGGAAGCCCACTGTGTGTTGTGTCTTATGTAAGCTACAACATCAGACTTGACATGAGTTTGACTGATGTTGGAATTAACCAGACGGACAGCAATGGTGTTACATAAAATGATATTGTGTCATGTGAAATGGAGTTTACATCATATCTAGGACCAGAAACCATGAGCTCCATGTCTTTACTTCCTTGTTTTTCTTAAGGGTATGATACAAGTAAAGATCCCCTCAAGGCAGTGTCTTTAAATTTGGCACAAATATCTGCTGGGACTCGATGAAATGATTTGATTCTGAATGACGGGGTCAGCATGATCACCTGTGATGACTCTGTGATGTCCGTCTTTTTGATTTTGTTCAATAAACAGGTACACTCCCCGACATCGTGTGGGACACAGGCTCTCAGGCAGTAATTCTACCTGTAACGGGTCTTGTGTGAGTCCACTAACATCATGGGATTGCACTTTCTAAATTGCTGTTGTCCATTTAAACACAAGGCTCACGCTGATGTCTCCAGGTTCAAATTACAAGGAGAAGTCTCTGTGTAGTTATTAAGGTAGAAAATACAGCCAGAGACCCACAAAGCACGTTTCATTTGTTTGGTGCTCCGGGGTGGTGAACGTCTCTGAAATCTAGTATGTGAACTCCCTGTTTGTGAGCTCTTAATAGCACTCTGTAGACCAGCACTTCTCAAAGACTGCATCCTGATTGGACGGTCAGTCAGTCCAGACCCAGCACAAACCTTGTTTAATAAATACAAGATATTTCAGTTTTGTGTTGAATGATTGATCAGAGAGAGAGAGAGAGAGAGAGAGAGAGAGAGATAGATAGATAATTTAAACCTCTTTGTGGCGTTTTGTGTTACATCCTAACATCTCTGTGTCTTCAGAAAAGGTTCTGGTTTGAATCCCTGTCTGACAGGAGCCTCTCTGTGTGGAGTTTGAATGTTCTCCCTGTGCATGTGTGGGTTTCTCTCCTGGTACTCCGGCTTCCTCCACAGTCCAAACACATGCTCGTTAGGTTACCTGGAGACTCTAAATTGTCCGTAGGTGTGACCGAGTATGACTGCTTGTCTGTCTCTAAAAGTCAGCCCTGAGATATACTGGCGACCAGTCCAGGTTGTAACCCGCCTCTCGCCCAATGAAAGCTGTACATATAAAGTACAAGAGGATAGATGTGTTGTTGTTGACAGCAGAAGTTCTGGCCGAACAGAACATATGACGTTGCATCACCTCTAATCACAGACAAGAACATCTCTCAGGGTTTTCAGACCCTCTAAAGAGATAAAAACACATAAAAGAAGAACAAAGAGGAGAATTCAGAGATGCTTAAGATGCTCTCTGATATGGATGGAGAACAGAGCGTTTCCTGTGTGTCGGTCACTGAAAGGCGTGTTTGACCATTATGAGTTTTCCTTCACCTACGATGGCTAATGAGTTTCCTTCTTTTTGTCTCCTTTGTTTTTCCTTCAGTGAACAGAGTATCTGCCAGGCGCGAGCTGCTGTCATGGTGTATGACGATGCAATAAGAAGTGGGTCCCAGCTGGTGTTCCACGGGCTTCAGCAGAGTCCACATCTACCACACACGGGCAACAACGCCTTCCGCGTGGTGGGCCGCAAGATCCAGGATCATCAGGTGAGTGGATGGAACCAGTAAAGGCCGTCTCCCCTGAGAGCTGCAGACCCCATCCGAGTGACAGAACGTCTTACTGACTGTTGAGCTCTTTTTCACACACAAACAAAACCAACGTTCATGAAAGAATGGACAGACACATCCAGCCACACACACCATGTTTGTGTAAGAGTACATTAAAGGGGACATATTATGAAAAATCCACTTAAACAGTGTTTCTGAACATATATTTGGGTACCGACCCACAAAATGTGAAATAAACCCATCCAGTTCTTTGTTTGTGGTCTTTATAAGTCTTACAACACAGAGAAAAATGATCCGTTTCAAATGTGCTCTCCTTGTGATGTCACAGTGGGATTTTGGTAAAAAAAAATCCCCTCCCCTCCCCTCCCCTGATATCTCCACCCATGGACTCCACCCCAAGCTTAGAACAAAACTTTTGCGCAGGTCAGCCATTTTTATTCTCACTACAGAGGAGAGATGTCTACGGGGAAAACTCAGGGGGGTCATTACATTTAAAGAGACATACACACCAAAACGGAGCGTTCTGAGAGAGCTGGTTTATACAGGGTCACAAACCTCCTCTGCTGCTTGATTCATGTTATATTTTGAACAAAGCACAGCACAGATGTTTCATTTAGACCACAGGAGGACTGTTTGAAAAAGTGGAGAAGGAGGATCATATGTCTTCTTTAATATTACAAACAAGCTAACAGAGAAAACTATCTGCTACCTGTGAGTGAATCTCTCCTGTTAGGTAGCACACACACTATCCTAACAATCCCACAATCCTCTCTGCCTCCATGTTTGAGAGTTCTTCTATGGCTGGAGGGATGGAGTGAGTAGGAGGATGAGAAGTCTCAGTCCCTCAAGCCCTCAGTGAGCCTGACGAAGGCCACAAGCTAGAACACGTTAGTGTCACAACAACTAGATCGCATGTTTGCCTCCTCTTATTTTCCTCAACATTTAATTTAATCCACTAATTAAATCAATAACTCTGCTGTGATTATGGCTCCACTGGACCACATCTGTGGCCACAGGCTGTTGGAGGCGTTCCAATCATCCATCCGTCCGACTCATTCCTGTAAATCTCAGGAATGCTTTGAGGGAATCTTTAGAAATGTGACAAACAGGCTCACTGAGATGCACTGCCAACTCTTTTTATGTGTATAATGTAAAACTACCAGAAAAAACGACCTGAAGAAGAGAATATGTTTTCCAACGATGTATCCAAGTATCATTTACATGAAGTTTCTATCACAGCAGCACATATAGCAACAGCACGGCAGCTTTCAGTAGCAGCTCACACTTCCTCATGCAGCGGTCTTTGACGTAACATCCGGTGTTTCCACGGCAACGATAAACATGTCGTCTCTGTCATGACGGCCGCCACAACAAGACACGTACGGTTACCACTATAAATGAAGGATTTCTCTGGCTTTGATAACTGTTGGAAATATTTGATGTAATGTAAGAACTCAACAAAACAATAAATAAAAAACAGGTTTAGGCCCCGTGTCCACCTAGCGTTTCTTTCTCAGCGCCAGCGTCTTTTTTTCAGTTCTTTTCAATGGGTAGAGAGCGTTCTCAGCAGAAAGCGGCCTCCAGGATGAAAAGCGCAGCGCCCAGCCTCTTTTTTTAAACAAGCGCTCTGCCGTTTTAGTGCAGCCGCTCCGGGTAGTGATGGGAAAAGCAGTTCTTTTCAGTGTACTGAATCAGTAGAATCAGTTCAGTAAAGTGATTCGTTCAAAAGATTTGTTCACCGAATCGTTCAGTAATTCTCACCAGCTCTGTCTGTGAATCAGAATTTAATAAACTGAAACACGGCCGAACGTTTAGTTCTGCTCGCGATCGTACTGAGAACAGCCGGTGGTGAATAATAAACCAATGAGCTGAGAATTTAGTTGGATAAAGCTACAGTTTGCAAACTGAAAGCTGCTAAAACAATCACATTTATTTTCCCTGACCGTTCTGTTCAGTACGTTCAGTACACAAATCACTCACTGACTGACTGACTGACTGACTGAGAGGGAGAGAGAGAGTCTCGGAGGCGGAGCTCTCGTTCAGTTCGTTCACTGAACGAAACACTGACTGAACGTGAACGAGCAAGACTGCGAGTCACCAGCCTCAGTCACACACACACACACTGTACTGACTGAAACACGATCGTTAGTAGATGTTAAAAGTCAGCTGAGTGAAATTAAGTTGGATATAAAAGCCGTTTGCAAACTGACAGCAGCTATAAAAGCACATACATTTTCGCGACACCTAAATGTTAAATAATATATTTGCTACTTCCTCAATTTTGGAGACATGAGAGGGAGAAGTAGGGGCGGGCTTTAGTGATGTTTTAGTGTAAAGTTCAACATATTACACCTTTAAAATAAAAGTCCCAACCCACCGCTTCAGAACAAACAGATGACAAACTGGTCGATGTTCGACCTCGTAAACTGGAGTTATCGCGTGGTTGTAGCGGCTGTGTGTGTGTGTGTGTGTGAGTCGTTCACACTCAGGGCTGCAGGCTGATTATCAGCGTGTGTGTGGCGCTGTGATAATAACATTCATATTTCCTCTGTTTGGTTTTCTTCGCTGCCACCTTCAATAAACATCCAGCGTTAAGACGGCTCAACTTCTCCTGACGTTCGCTGGCTGCTTGTTTTATCACCCGCTCCTTCAACAATAAAGAATCGTGATGTGTATCACTTTCTGCCTGACACAGACTCGCATCACAACAAGCACAGACACTGACACTAGATTATCTCTTGCTGGGTTCAAATAAATTTGTCCAGCTGCCGGACGTCGACTTTGTTTTGGATAAACAATCAGAGCGGTAACAGTCTTCAGCGCTAGACGAGATGTTTATTGGCCGAAGCAAAGATAATTCTCATTTGGGCTTTTTCTCATTTTACTTTAATCTTCTGAAATCTAACCAGAGGGGCCGTGCAGGAGAAGCTTCAGACATGAGGCTGCCTGTCTCATTAGTGGGGACACGAGATGACACTGTGATTATCAGATTAAGACCTACAGCATGACTCATCTTTTCTGGGTGTTTCAGTTACATCAGATAACGATGATGTACATGCTTACATCAACTTTCACTGACTACCATACAGATTTAGTGTTTTGTGTACGGAGGACGCAGACATGGAAGAAGGAGGATTTGTTAGAGCTCTCCGTTCTCCGTCTCAATAACTCAGAGTAGAGCTGCCTGGGGGCGTTTCTCCTCAACGTTAGCATCCTAAGCACCTTAAATGCAGAGTAATGGATCTTTAAGTCTCTTTACAAGCAGGTAAAAATGACCTTTAACCACATATCACCTCCAGAGTCTCACTTTAATGAGATTGGGGGGTGTTTGTTGGGACAGGACCAGGATCTGGTGCGTTGGCTTTAAATCTTCTCCCTGATTTGTGACAGCTCCTGAACTTGGCAGCAGAGAGAGAGAGATGGACACCACACTGCTTGTACATCTTTCTTTATCCTCCTGTTTGTGTTTATAATCTACAGAAATCAGGTTCAGACTGTAAACATGAAGTCTCACTCAAAGTCATTTGAAGTTTATCCTCTCAGTCATGGGTGTTTCTTGTTTCCCTCTCTCATCGTGGACATCTTCAGGTGGTGATAAACTGTGCCATTCCCAAGGGGCTGAAGTACAACCAGGCCACGCAGACCTTCCACCAGTGGCGGGATGCCCGACAGGTCTACGGGCTGAACTTCGGCAGCAAGGAGGACGCCAACGTGTTTGCCAGTGCCATGATGCATGCTCTGGAGGTGCTCAACTCGCAGGATGCAGGTAGAGCTGCTTTTTTAAAATGTAATTAGACCTAAGAGGTAGGCTTCAATACGCACGATAAGAATCGTGGCTGAGTTGACTGACAGGTGGATGTGTTGCAGCTGTTTACCAGGATGCTTAAGGCCCGCTCTACCTCTATGCCTGTTTTTAGATTGATTGAAAGTTAGGTTGAGCTGCAGTGGTTAGCGCCTCCTAAGACATCCTTTAAATTAACTAGTGACTCTAAACTTCCTGTAGGTGTGAATGTGAGGGTGGCTGGTTGTCTGTCTCTACATGTCAGCTCTGTGATTGGCTGGTGAACAGTCCAGGGTGTACTCCACCTCTCACCCAATGACAGCTGGAATCAGCTCTAGCGATCCCGAACGGGACAAGCGGTTTAAGATTATGAATGGATGGACTGTCATTGTTGGGCTTCAAAACTACACTTCAGAAACCAGTGGGTGACGTCCATGTGTGTACAGTGTATGGTCAGTAGACGGGTACAGAAAATGTTCACCCACACACAGGGTGAACTTCTTCCTCTCTTCCTGTTGTACTGAAGCTTTGGGGGGGGCGTTCTGCTACATCTTGGCGATATTGTCAGTGCTGTTGCTTTTTTGGAGAATTTTAATTCAAACAGTTCTAATCATATGACCTGCAGTATAACCGTACTAATGTTGTAGTCCCCCCTCTTCGTGGCTGGCGACCTCCACTTTGGACACCACTGAGATAAGCAATCACTGTAATAAAATTTTAATTTTTTAAATTTTATATACTTTATTAATCCCAGAGGGGAAATTCTGTTCTGACCCTCTGTTATTGAGAGACATGCTTCTCACACACATAGGCCTGAATGGCATCTCTCCAGCTACCAGACCACCTTCCATATCAGGGTCCGGGACTTGAACCCTCCAGTTCCCTAACCAAAATCCCTGCAGTCTGAGCTACTGCCGCCTCCTGCAAACACAAAGTCAGACTTTTACTCCAGAGGTGTGAGGGACCAACATGTGTCTGATAAAGAAGCTGTTGCTGCTGTTTGGACATTTAGTGTTTCAGATGGTTTCACAGCGACTTTGTGTGCAGGAGGCATGAAACACGCAGAGACAGGAAGTTCTACCACGAGGGAGGAGGAACACTGTTGAAAAATTCAGCAAAACTAAAAACATGTGTCAACAATCAAATTGTTTTCCAGTGAACGCGAGTTACTAATGGCTTTACCAGGAACAATGATGGGAGTGAAATGTCACGTTTAATTCATCCCAGGCAGCTCACCACAAAGAGAGGGAGCTGTGTTTCACCTCCTCACTTCTTCTTCCAAACTTTGATTCCTACAGGCGCTGAACAATGGACGACTCCTGCTGATGACATTCTCCCTGAACGGGTTGAATTATTTTTAGCGTCATTGATCGTGATCCGTGCTCACATCTACCGATCATTTATCAAAGCTTTAATAGAACTGAAACGTCAAAGGGTAAAGTCGTCACAGGAGGTTTAGATGCATGAGGAGAGAGAGAGGAAGGATCCAGTATTCACATCACACTCATTCAAACAGCCACTTCTTTGGGCCTCAAATATTTGCACGCTGTGACTCCAGTGGTTCACCACGACCTTGGTTTTCTGAAACATGCTCTCATTATGTAGCTCCAACCTCTGGCTGTGTTTCTGTTACTGCCTAGAGAGACGAGAGAGGGAGGAGGGGCGGGGGAGAGAGAGCATTGTTTCTCAGATGAGAGGAGGTCTTCAGTGTGGTTGTGCAAAGATTAAGACCCCAAATTTAAGGACTTCAAATTTATTTTGGTGCTGATTTCTCTGAATGTATACCTCTCCTCTCCTCCTTTTTTTATTCCAGCAAAAAGACTATGCATAGACTTGTACTGTAGCCTCCATGTTTACTTTATATAAACTAAGAACCAGCATCTCCTCTCCTCTCCTCTCCTCTCCTCTCCTCTCCTCTCCTCTCCTCTCCTCTCCTCTCTCCTCCTCTCCTCTCCTCTCCTCTCCTTTTCTCTTTTCCTCTCCTCTCCTCTCCTCTCCTCTTTACTTTATATAAACTAAGAACCAGCATGACCTCTCCTCTCTCTCCTCTCCTCTCCTCTCCTCTCCTCTCCTCTCCTCCTCTCCTCTCCTCTCCTCTCCTCTCCTTTTCTCTTTTCCTCTCCTCTCCTCTCCTCTCCTCTCCTCTCCTCTCCTCTCCTCTTTACTTTATATAAACTAAGAACCAGCATGACCTCGCCTCTCCTCCTCTCCTCTTCTCTTCTCTTCTCTTCTCTTCTCTTTTCCTCTCCTCCTCTCCTCTCCTCTCCTCTCCTCTCCTCTCCTCTCCTCTCCTCTCTCTTCCTCCTCTCCTCCTCTCCTCTCCTTCTCTCCTCTCCTCTCCTCTCCTCTCCTCTTTCTTTATCTCCAGCTCCTCTCCTCTCCTCTCCTCTCCTCTCTCTCTCCTCTCCTCTCTCTCCTCTCCTCTCCTCTCCTCTCCTCCTCTCCTCTCCTCTCCTCTCTTCTCTTTCTCCTCTCCTCTCCTCTCCTCTCCTCTCTCTCCTCCTCTCCTCTCCTCTTTACTTTATATAAACTAAGAACCAGCATGACCTCGCCTCTCCTCCTCTCCTCTCCTCTTCTCTTCTCTTCTCTTCTCTTCTCCTCTCCTCTCCTCTCCTCTCTCCTCTCCTCTCCTGTTTCCGTTTCCGTTTCCGGTTTCCGGTTTCCGGTGAGTGTGAGTGTGAGTGTGAGTGACGGTGGTGGTGTTGCGAGTGGCGCGGAGATTGAATTGTTTGCTATCCTTTCTACTGTTTTCAAAGTGCACGATCAGGTCAGATTGTTTTCATATTTGTATTGAGTGTTGTTGGCTGTGTAAGACAGATCGTTGGAGGGGTTGGAGGGAGGAATGGCGTCTGCTGAGACGCCACCTCCGACTCTCCGACAGGGAGTTCGGATAGTCCCTCCGAACGGTACTGTCACCGTGGAGGAGGTTCTGTTAGCTGCAGGTGAACAGGTAGGCCATGATAAACTCTTGTATGCATCCCGAATGAACAAGGCTGTGGTTGTTTTTCTGAAGAGTGAGCCTCTTGTGTATCAGCTGATTGAGAGTGGTGTGTTCATTAGGGATTTGTTTGTGCAGGTTTCCCCGTTGTCGGTTCCCTCTACGCGGATCACCGTATCCGGTGTTCCGCCGTTTATTTCTAACAACTTGTTAGAGAACGAACTCCGCAGGTTTGGGAAGTTTGCGAGTGGTTTCAAAACTGTGAGTCTAGGGTGTAAAGATCCCAAACTGAAACATGTTCAATCTTTGCGGCGTCAGGTGTTCATGTTTTTGGATTCGCCCACACAGACTCTGGAGGTTTCCTTTAGAGTGAAACACGGTGACGCTTCTTATATGGTGTATGCGAGCTCGGGACAACTGAAGTGTTTTGAGTGTGGTGATGTGGGACACAAACGTTTTGCGTGTCCGCACAGACAGCAGGAGGCGGCTAGTGCTGCCGCTGACGCGGGCAGCTCTGTTAGTGTGGCGCATGTGGCGGGGGCCGCGTCCGCGTCGTGCCGGGGCGGAGGCCGCGTCCGCGCCGCCGCTTGGGGCGGAGGCCGCGTCGCGCCGTGCCTGGACGGGGGCCGCGTTCGTGCCCGTGCCTGGGGCGGGGGCCGCGTCCGCGTCCGCGCCTGGGGCGGGGGCCACGTCCGCGTCCGTGCCTGCGGCAGAGGCCGCGTCCGCGCCTGCGCCTTGTGCTGAGGCCGTGGCTGAGGTAGAGGTGGCTTCGACCAGCTCTCAGGCTACAGAAAAATCACAGACTGTAGATAATGATAAAACTGAAGATTCCACAAGTTCTGCAGTTGTAGATGTTTCATTGAAGGAAGGTAAGACAGTGTGTTGTAGCCAGGCATCATGTGAAGGAGAGGACATGGATGAAGATTATGAGTCAGACAATGCATCCATTGCTGATTTGCCAAATAGTGGCTCTGGTCTTTATTCTTTAGAGTCAATCAATCAATTTATGGATGAAACGTACAACAAATCAGTAAAAATAAGTGACTACTTTAGTGATACTGAAAAGTTCATAAAGTCAGTCAGCATACTGAAAAGACAGGTTGGGTTTGACCTCCTGGACGCAAAAAAACGGTTCCGTCTTAAAAAGCACATCACCGCACTGAGGAAAGTTGGACGTAAGAGTGTGAAGAAGACAAAGAAATGATCATGCATCACAAGGTGTTTTTCTTCTTCTACTGCTCCCTGTTTGTGTCTACTTGTCTGTTCTTTCTCTCTGATCTTTCTATGAGGAGTCTTAAGATAGGATCTCTTAACATTAATGGTGGGAGAGACAGACAGAAAAGGGGCCTTATCTCTGAGATCTCAACTCAGAAAAACATTGATATCTTGTTTTACAAGAGACTCATACCACACCATCAGATGAGACAGATTGGGGTTTATGGTGGGAGGGCTCTAACTACCTTAGCCATGGCACCAACCTTAGTGCAGGAGTAGCCATTTTGTTTAGAGCATCTGCAAATGTAAAGATCGTCTCTTGTGCTGAAATTGTAAAGGGAAGGCTTTTAATTGTAAGAGCAGAAATAGAGGACACTGTTTTCTGCTTCACTAATATTTATGCTCCAAATAATGGAGCTGAAAGGGTAGCTTTCTATACCCGCCTCCAAAAGGAGTTAGTGATCTATAATCAGGATCAGATCATTCTTGGTGGTGATTTTAACTGCACACTTGATTTCACCGTGGATAGAATAGGAGAGGAGCCACATCCACATTCATCCCAGACTTTAAACACTGTCATCTCTCACCTGGATTTGTTGGACACATTTAGAGTGAAACATCCACAATCCAGACAGTATACATGGGTCAGGGTTAACAGTAACAGGGTGTGTGCAGCTAGACTGGACAGGGTTTACATCTCCAGAACTCTCAACCCAGATTAATTCATTGTAATATTCTGCCTGTCGGCTTCACTGATCACCATTTTGTTAGTGTGGAGCTGATTATTTCACCAGGTGAAAGGGCTAAGTCCTTCTGGCATTTTAATAACAAG